GGGAGGAGAGAGAAAGGCGCGAGAACGAGATCGGCGCGTGAGGGCGCGTGCAATCTCCTTCACCGCGCGACTGGTGGTGTTGGAGTCGCCGGAGCAAGGCGACCTGGGTGTGGGTGGGTCGACGGCCGGAAAGTCGATGGCGGCGGCAGTGGACGGCGGCGGCAGTAAAGAAAAACGCCGGAAGAATAGAGAAAAACGGCTGGAAAGAAACACGGCGAGGTGGGTAGCCGGAAAATGGAATGAGACACGTTTTCCGGGCACCGATGAACAGTAGGTCCACCGGGAGGTCAAGGATTAGGCTCTAGATACCATGTTGAGAGTAATGGTGAATGGAGAGAACATATTCCTTGTGTATTGCAAAGCAAAAGATGTGTTTAAATACAAAGCAGTGGGCCTAGGCCCATAAGATAAAAAAACTATAAGATAAAAACTATATCTAACAGTTTGAAAGTGCAGAACAGCTTATGACTCAAAGCAATGGTGCTTTGATTATCACAGTAGATAACTAGTGTAGCGATAGTAATCTGAAGTTCAGGAAGAAGAGATTGAATCCAAAGAACTTTAGAAGCAGCCATAGCTAAGCTTCTGTATTCGGCCTCTACAGTCGATGTAGCAACCAAAGTCTGCTTTTCGGACCACTAAGATATCAGATTAGGTCCCAAAATATAGACAAGCTCCTGAAATACTCTTTCAATCATCTACATCAGATGCCCAATCAGCATCTGAAAAGGCCTGTAAAGCAAGGGGAGATGCACTTGTTGCAGGATGAAAGAGCAGACACAGATCAACAGAACCTCCAAGATACCTTAGAAGACGTTTCACTGCAGTCCAATGAGAAATTTGGGTCAAAAACTGACAAACTTTGCTAACAACATAACCAATTTCAGGGTGAATTATAATCACATATTGAAGGGCACCCGTAGACTTGTAAAGAAAAAGGTCTTCAAAGTAATTTGAACCATGTTTAGACAATTTAAGATTAGCTTGATAGGAGTAGAAATTCCCTTTGCAATATCCATATCTGCTCTCTGCAGAAGATCTCTGATATACTTTTCTTGAGACAAATGAAGGGACCCTAAAGAAGTTTGTTTGACTTCTATTCCCAAAAAAAAGAAAAATTAAATCACCAAGTTGCTTGAGAGCAAATATGTCTTCAATTTTGCAATAAAGCCTTAAACTATAGAACCTGAATTTCCAGCGATAATTATAACATCCACATAAATCAGCATATAGATGCAAACATCACCCTTCTAGTAGATTAATAGAGAATGGTCACGCTTGCTCTGAGTAAATCCAAAACCAATGAGAGTTTTGGTAAGACATTCATATCAGACCCATGGAGCCTGTTTTAAAAATGAAGAGTTTTTTGCATCTTACAAACACAACTTTTATCAGAAACTTAAAACTGGTGGTTTTACCATGTAAATGTCTTTCTCCAAACAACGATTTGAGAAAGGCATTATTAATATCAATATGCTTGATGGGTCATGGTTAGTGAGGGAAAAAGTCAAAATTATTCGAACAATAACAAGCTTCACAACTGGGGAGAATGTCTCCGTATAGTCAGTACCAAATTTTTTATCGAAGCCTTTGGCAACTAGCCTGGCTTTGTATTTATTTAATGTTGCATCTGAATTCTCTTTAATTCTAAAAATCCATTTGCATCTTACAGCTGAGCAACTAAGAGCTTGGCAATTTGAATTGCTTGGCATTGATGTCAAGCCTCAACCTAATGCATCCCTCTTCCTCACTCAGATATCTCTTAAGTCAAAACCAACCAATATGGCAAAAGCTAAGCCTATATCATCCCCTATAGTTGGAGGCTGCAGGCTGAATAAAGGCTCTGGCTTTCTCTCTTATGCTTCCTTCTATAGGTTAGTGGTTGGTGCCTTAAAATATGCCAACATAACTCACCCAGAAATCAGCTTCCCTGTCGATCAAGATTGTTGGTCCATGACTTAGCCCATTGAAGCCCAATAGACAGTACCATCTCTTGGGGACTTCACTGAGTACCCAGCTTCTTCAAATGGATCCTTCTCTCGCTGCCTTTTGTGATGCCAATTGAGCATCTAATCCTAACAACAGAAGATCTACCTCTGGTGCCTGCATTTTCCTTCCCAATCTCCTCAACAAAGCTTTCTCTCCCACTCTATTTACTGATCTCAGGTCCAAGCTTAGAGTCGGCAAATTCCTCTTCCACTACTCCAGAGCTTGCTAGGGAAGGGGTACTAGAGTAGAGAAATATAATTACTGCATTGTTTTACTCTCTATTAGATTATTTTGGGCACTCAATTAGTTGGTTGTGCCCATGTATATCTTTTTGCTTAACTGGCTGAGACAATTACCCAGAATTATGTGATAAAGCTATCAGAAGGAAATGTTCACTAACCTTGTGAGACTGAAGAATTCCATATAAGCTATCTGGTTCATTGATTCTAGTGACTGCCGAAACAAGTATTTCAATATGATCTGGCAACTGATATGAAGGAAGCCAACAGAGAGAACAGATGTAAATTAGCCACAGACATGATTATATAATGAGGATCAAAATAATAGTACAAAAACCAAATGAATTAAAATAGTGTAACAAATAATATGGTCCAGCATAAGAAAAAAGTTATGCATCAGATATAAAAATATTCAGTACAACTTACCATTTCATTTTGGGAGAAATCTGGACCTCCAATTGTCAAAGTTTTAAATTGCTCTTCACACCAATGTTCTACATACATCACTGAAGTAAAATATGATCCACAACTCTATAATTGAAAAAGCACATGTAATCAAAATTTATATATAAATAAACAGGACAAAAAAAATATAGGAATCTAAATTGGAATAATAAAAACAATTTACTTATTTTGACAGATCAAAACAATATTTTCACTAAGAAAATATTTAATAATAAAAAGTTTAGTTTTTAGTTAAACTATTTTAAATTATTACTATAGAAATTCTTTTACAAAATTTACTTTTTTCTTCCCACTCTCTTTTTTCACTTATCCAAACAAAGAATTTTCTCCACTCCTATCCTATTTCCATCCAAACAATACATCTTCTACACCCTATTTCAAATTTATTTTTTCATTTCTTTCCCCTTTATTTCTTTGCTTCCTATTTCATCCTTCGTCCAAACAAAGTCAAAGAAAAAGAAAAAAGAGAAATCAAGTTCGTAGAATCCACCACTTACAGCTGCCAACTTGGCAACAAGTAGATAGTCAATGGAGACCCAATAAACCTGGACAGATAAAAGGAAAAATAAACTATGTTAACTTCTGCATTCCACAGACTAAATATTTTAAGAAAACAATTAACCGTATGAAGGTAAATAAGAAAGGAAGATGATACTTTCTCCCATGAGGGCGTTAACTTTGCCAAGGCACTTGAAACAACTGCAGATTCTCTTGCCTTTGCAGGAGTGGACCGGGTTTTAGAATTATAACTTGAAGGCCTTGAATTCTACAAAACCAAACCACAGTTTATAATTGTTTCCCTTGCTTCTTATTTGTTTTAAATGGCAATGCAAATAAACAAAATAAAATATGGTTTTGTTAACATCATCCTCAGGACTGTTTTTAAGAACCTAGAAGTGGCATATTTTTTTAAGAAAGAAAACAGTTATTAAATTGAAAATACAAAAGTGCAATAAATGTTTTCTTTCTGAATAAAATCATGGAAAATTTATTTATGTTGAGCATTTTGGCACAAAAGTGAATAAAAACACTGCAATCTAGAGAACATCATTCTATATGGTGGAAGGACTTAGGGAGGGTGTGTAACATGTCATGTTCAGATGGTTGGTTTAATAAAGATATGCTGAGAATTCTAGAGGATTGGGAATGAGTTCACTTTTGGAAGGAGCCTTTGGTGGGAGCAAAGCTTTAAAATTTGAGTTCCCTAGGTTGTATGTTTTGCCAACTATTCAAGAGATGGGTGAATGGGTTGACAATTGTTGGCATTAGAATGTCTTTTGGCGAAGGAATTTGTTTGTTTGGGAAAAGGAATTCTCTGCTTCTTTGATGCATCTTATAGAATAAAAATCTCCAAGGGATGGAGTTATTGACTCGTGGGCTCGAAAGCAACATTTGTTACAAGGCTTTGTGCTGAAAGGCATATACAACGAATTACAAAATGCTACTCTTGTTGGGGAAGCTAATATGGACTGTGATTTACTCAAGTTCCTGTAGTCTCTACCTGTTTTGTCCAAAGCCATGGGTTTTTGTTGGAGGATGGTGCTTGATAGAATCCAAACCAAAGATAATTTGTGGAGGAGAAATCCAGCCACAGGATCTAGCTTAGCTTGCCCGCTTTGCAATGAGTCCGACAAGAATATGATGCACCTTTTATTTACTTGCAAGGTTTCTTATTCTATTTGGATGTATATATATTGATGGGAAGGTGCTTTGATAGCCTTACCTTCGTGTCCTACCCATTTTGGGCAACATTGAGCTGGGAGGAAAGGCAAAGTCATGAGGTGTACTTGGTGGGCAATATGGTTAGCTATAGTGTGATCCATTTGGAAGCATAGGAATGGAATTATTTTCACAAATAAAACTCCTAACATGATCTCTTTCATGGATAATATCGAATTTTTCTCTTGGAGTTGGCTTAAAACTAAGGAAAAGGAGTTTAAATGTATTTTTTTTATTGGGAATCCCATCCCTTACTGTGCATCTACTTAGAATCTCACCAATGATCCCTTCTTTTTCTGCAGAATATTAGTCAATCTCAAACTCGTGTAATTGCTATCACTAGGTTGACTTGTTTTTGTAGGGGAGGATCATCACCCAATGGTTGGGCTTTGTGTTTGTGTCGTGTTGGTTTGTAGGTTCTTTTCTAGGAATTGTATATTGGCATATGCATGTTTCTTTGTATATCCTAAGGTGCTTAGTTTATTGATATCCCAGTGCCTTATGCCCTTTCCAATACTTCTTGTGTTCCTTATATATATATATATGAAAAAGGGTCTGTTTACTTCAGAAGTAAATCTACCTAGACTTATTCCATTTAATAACTCATGCTCTATATCAAATCTCAACGATCCAACCTTTGAATTTAAAATTCTTAATGCACAAATCAAAGCTGCAAAATTTTAAAAAATTTGAAAACCATTTGCTATTCGTTTCATTAATTCAAATAGATGGATAACATGCTTTTATAATTATCCGTCAATTTCAATTAATGAAACGAAGTATCAAATGATTTTCAAATTTTTAAAAATTTGCAGATTTGATTTATGTATTAAGAACTTTAAATCCAGTTGTTAGATCATTGAGATTTGATATAAAGCATGAGTTATTGAACGAAGTAAGTCTAGGTAGACTTACTCCTAGAATAACGAATCCCTCCTATATATATATATGTGTGTGTGTGTGTCTGTGTCTGTGTGCGTGTGTGTGTGTGTGTCTGTGTGTATACATTGATCAGAATTACATGAAGGGATTAGAAGAAATCCTCATCACCCTGATTACAAAATAAATGTAAAGATAAGATAAGGAGAAGAAAATAAAGGAGAATCAAATTAGATTTGATCTAATATTGATCGTATCTAACCAAAGCTCCGATAATAAAAGAGAATAAAATCAAATATGAGTAAGCCTGATTTTGATCTTAACTACCCAAATTTACAATTAAATTAAAGTAAATTTAACTGTCAACTCCCCCCCTGAAGTTGGTGCATAGATGTCTAACATGTCGAACTTGCTGACAGAATTCAAAACTAGGTCTAAACAATCCTTTTGTAAGAATGTTTGCCACTTGCTATGAAGAAGGAACAAATGGCATGCAAATTTGGCTTGCATCCACCTTTTCTTTTATAAAATGTATATCAATTTCTACATGTTTGGTTCGATCATGTCGAACTGGATTTTGGGAAATAATAATTGCAGCCTTGTTGTCACAATACAACATGGGTCGAGTCATACGAAGTTGCAACTCTTCTAGCATTCTTTTAAGCCATAAAATTTCACAAACTACTTGTACCATTACTCTATATTCAACCTTTGCACTACTTCTAACCACAACATTTTGATTTTTGCTTCTCCAAGTAACCAAATTTCCCCAAACAAATGTACAATAGTCAGGAGTTAACTTTTGGTCAGTAATGGATCCAACCCAGTCCACATCAGTGAACATTTCTATTCCTTGCCCCCCAGTTTTCGTAAAAAATAGCCCCCTTCCTAGAGCACTTTTTAAATACCTCAAGGACCTATAAACCAGTTGACTCACTAAATTTACTACAAAGGCTATGTTTGGTCGGGTATGAGATAGATAAATCAATGTTCCCACTAATCTATGGTATCGAGCTATATCTATTGGGTCACCTTTCACTTTACTTCCAAGTATTTTATTAGGATCTATGGGAGTTTCAATTGACCTGCAAGCCATCATCACAGTCTCTTTAAGAAGATCAAAAATATACTCTCTCTGACACATCAATTCCTTTCTTTGATCTTGCTACCTCCATCCCCAAAAAATATTTTAAAGATCCAAGGTCTTTAATGTCAAACTCATCTATAAGAAAAGCTTTCAACTTATTTATTACATTAAAACCATCTCCAGTAATCACAATGTCATCCACATAAACAATTAAAACAACCATTTTTCCTACAGAAGAATGTTTTACAAACATTGTATGGTCACTTTGGCATTGAACAAATCTTTGCTTCTTAACAAATTGGGAAAATTTCTCAAACCAAGCTCTAGGTGACTGTTTCAATCCATAGAGAGACATTTGAAGGCTACATACATATTGATTAAATTTTGAAAACTTGGAGGCACATCCATATAAACTTCCTCCTCTAAATCCCTATTTAAAAAGGCATTCTTTATACTAGTTGCTGCAATGGACAATCTAAATTTGCAGCTATTAAGATAATTCTATAAGATATAGTTTAGATATACTAGTTTATCCTCTCCTAATTTCTAGTTTAGTTTCCTTAGTTAGTTTTATCTAAATCCCTAAACTTTAGGGAATTATTATGTTTTATGCCTATTTATTTTATTGTATCCATCAATTCAATAACATGAAAATTATTCAGATTCAAGTTGGTACCAGAGCATTCTGGTCCTGGTTTGGAAACCCTAACCCAGCCGCCACCAAGGCATCTAGGGTTTTTCGAATTTTGTTAGCGGTTGTCGGAGTTGACGCCGCCTGAGTGTTCAGAGGTCGCCGATTGGCCTTTCCGTCGCGAGCCGCCTCCAGAACAGTGTCTCACGCGCTCTCACGCGCGGTTTTTGTCAGAAAAGCTCGCCGGCGCGTGGGGTTCACGCGCCGCCCTCTAGGCCTCCGTTTGCGACGCCGTTTGCACCGTTGGACTCGCCGGCCCTCCCTCTTCTTGTTTTGACCCTTTTTAAGTTGTGGGTCACACTGTAGGTGGTCGTTTGGTTGCTGTTTGGATTTTCATGGTTGTTTGGGTGCTGCCACGGAATTTCGAGACTGTTTGGTTGCTGTCTCGGAGGTCTTTCCGGATTGTTTGGAGGTGTTTTTTTTTTTGCTGTTCTTCTCTTTTTTCTCTTCATGGCAGAGATTTCCAAGAATGGCACACCCTCTTCTTTTATCCCTAGTTCAACTGACTGTGGAAATCGAGGGCGTGGTCCAGGTCGTGTTCGTGGTAAAGGGGGTAGAGGAAACCTCCATTGTACCTACTGCCAAAGAGATGGGCATACACGAGACAAGTGTTATTCCTTGCATGGCTTTTCGAGCAAGACAGCTAAAGTGGCTCAATCTCCGACTTCGGCTCTAGAAGTCAAGATTGAACCCAAGAGCAATCATCCAATCACATTATCTGTCGATGATTACAAAGAGTATCTTCAACTAAAGGCGACTAAACAGGCCCCTTCCTCCATCACTGTTGCTCATACTGGTAATTCTACAGTCTGTCTCTCTCATTCTACGTCTATTGGACCTTGGGTTTTGGACTCCGGTGCTTCTGATCACCTAACTGGTAATGTCTCCCTTTTCCGTAACCTATCATCACCTAAAACTCCACATCATATCACTCTTGCAGATGGGTCAAAAGTCCAAGCCACTGGTATTGGTCAAATATCACCTCTTCCATCACTACCATTAAAATCTGTTTTACTAGTTCCTGGATGTCCCTTTAATTTGATTTCTATAAGTAAGTTGACTCGGTCACTAAACTGTGTCATAACCTTCACTTCTGATTCTTTCTTGATACAGGACCGGAGTACGGGACAGACGATTGGAGCTGGATCTGAATCACATGGTCTCTACTACCTTCAGCCTTCTACCTCTACCATATGTGCATCTATTGAGTCTCCTGGTTTAATCCACCGTCGCCTGGGTCATCCAAGCTTGAATAAATTAAAGAAAATGGTACCTCATCTCTCACGGTTAGAGTCTTTAGAGTGTGAGTCGTGTCAATTAGGAAAGCATGTTAGAGCTTCTTTTCCTAATAGTGTTAATAGTCGAGCTATGTCTCCTTTTGATGTTATTCATTCTGATGTTTGGGGTCCTAGTCGTGTTCCTTCTCTTTTGGGGCATAGGTATTACGTCACCTTTATTGATGATTTTTCTAGATGTACTTGGATATTTTTGATGAAAAATCGTTCTTAGTTATTCAATATTTTCCTAAGTCTCTATTCGGAGATCAAAACTCAATTTGGCAAAGTAATTCGGATTTTACGAAGCGATAATGCTAAAAAATATTTTTCAGATTGCTTCAAATCATTTATGGCTTCTCATGGCATTCTACATCAATCTAGTTGCTCTCATACACCTCAACAAAATGGTGTAGCTGAGTGAAAACATAGACATATTGTGGACATTGCTCGTACTCTTTTATTGAATGCCAATGCACCCCCAAAGTTGTGGGGCGATGCTGTCCTCACTGCAGGGTATCTAATAAATCGAATGCCATCGTCTGTCTTGAATGATCAAGTACCTCATTCCCTATTATACCCATTGGAACCCCTTTACTCTGTTCATCCTCGTGTCTTTGGTTGTACTTGTTTTGTCCATGATCTTTCTCAGGACGTGATAAGCTGTCTGCTCGGGCCATCAAATGTGTGTTCGTAGGATACTACCGTGTCCAAAAGGGGTACCGTTGTTACTCTACTGCTACGCATCGATTTTACACAAGTGCAGATGTCACTTTCTTTGAAGATACACCATATTTTATTGCCACAGATGTCTCTCCGGTTGACTCAGATCTTCTCTCTCAGGTATTGCCTATTCCTTATTTTGATCATAGTGTGCCTCCTACCACACCTGCTACTTTATATTTAAAAAGGCATTCTTTATACTAGTTGCTGCAATGGACAATCTAAATTTGCAGCTATTAAGATAATTCTATAAGATATAGTTTAGATATACTAGTTTATCCTCTCCTAATTTCTAGTTTAGTTTCCTTAGTTAGTTTTATCTAAATCCCTAAACTTTAGGGAATTATTATGTTTTATGCCTATTTATTTTATTGTATCCATCAATTCAATAACATGAAAATTATTCAGATTCAAGTTGGTACCAGAGCATTCTGGTCCTGGTTTGGAAACCCTAACCCAGCCGCCACCAAGGCATCTAGGGTTTTTCGAATTTTGTCAGCGGTTGTCGGAGTTGACGCCGCCTGAGTGTTCAGAGGTCGCCGATCGGCCTTTCCGTCGCGAGCTGCCTCCAGACCGGTGTCTCACGCGCTTTCACGCACGGTTTTTGTCAGAAAAGCTCGCCGTCGCGTGGGGTTCACGCGCCGCCT